GGAAAGAAAATGGAAACGACTATAATGGGTTCTATAGGGTGTATGTTGGGGTTTTATAGATTCATAGTGCAATTTTGATAGATGGCATGAGGTCCACACACTTTGTCGTTAGTTGTCCGTCTGAGGCATCCTGGTCCAAAGTTGTCAGAAGCAGAGGACCGCAAGTGCAGATGCAACCGCCGTTGATGCAAAGAAGCAGAAAGCGTCCGAAGAGCATTTGTGGACACCTTGTCAAAGCCTGATGCGTCTATCTATCACGCCGAATTATGCTTATGAGAGCATTTGGACGCGGGGGTAAGAAAGACAGAGCAGTTTTTTGTAGCGGTAAGGCTGCTGACAATCCTGCCTGAATAGCTCCGGTCATTCTTTCACAGCTTGTATTTGCACTGCGGACATAATCCGCGCATGCCCAAGCGCAACAAACGTGAAACAACCAGCAGTGAAAGCATTTTGGCAAGGAGCCAGCTGAGCTTGCACGCAAAAGGCGCAAGCATGGTGGGCTAGCAGACCTTTTTCGCAGGTTTGGGATGATGCCCGCAGAGGAAAAAAGGTAGCCAAGTACGGGGCAGTCATCATGCGAATTGATTTTGCTGCACCTTTTTGTCAGGCAGAGTCAGGCAGTCCGTGGCTCCAAGCACAAGCCTTCAAGAGGCGTGGTTTGGGAGTAGCACGGAGTAGATAGATCCAGGCTGGCTACGTGATGGGTTGCGGAGGAAGCTGTGGAAAGCCTGCTGGTACTGCTGGGCGGAACGCCCAGCATTGGATGGCTTGTAAGCCGCGTGTCCTCCCTGCGGCCACGCTAACGGGCCCAGATCAAGCCGTACATGCTCTCTGTCAAAGGGAGCTCAACATGTACCTCACAAAGGTGCAGAGAAAGCCTGAAGCCTTCAAGAATGTGGTCCAAAACCGCAGAAGGGAGTCATGCCGAGGTGAAGGAAGCGAAGACCATGACACTTTCAAGCCCACGCGTCAAGAAGCCACGTGTGCTGAATCTGATTCTTGGCTCGCAGTTCTCGCACACGATCTGGCGCCAACAGGATTACATGCAGGGCCCCACAGTAGCTGATTCGTGGTACTCCCGTTGCACCTCCATTTCAACACTCCTCGCCTGCCAACGCAGGGGGGGAGACTAAGTGACCGGAAGCTCAAACATTTATCAATGAGCTGGTACACATTTCAACAGCTGGCTGGGCATTTGTGATTTCTCGCTGCCCGATAATGACCAGTCTGGCAAAGAATTCTCACGCAATTTACTGTTCCAGGGCACACTGGCAACCTGCATTCTGTGGTTATTGTCAGGATGTCGATGCTCCCACAGCCTCTTAGGTTGAACAAGTTGTCTAAATCTGTTCTGCTGCCATATCACAGCATCACCCTTCAGTTCCATGTATAGCAAGTCAAGCCACTTCACTACAGCAGTCCCGAGTTTGATGTTGTTGTTGACGGGCGCAGCTTGTTGAAGAGACTGCTACAGTGTGGTGAAAAGATCTGGTCTTGGCTGGAGATGTGGAGATGATTCGTTTGCGCTCTGGCAGGCCTGACAGTATTGGCGCATGGTGCACAAACTTCAGCCAAGACTTGACGATTATTATCTTTCCCGCGCGCTTGGCGCTCTCCTAATCCGGAATTCAGCATGCACTTTATGAGCCTGAACGCCTGTACTTCAAGCTTTCAATTTGTCCTGGTCATCATAGCGTCCATCAAAGATGCCGACGCTCAACATTTTGGAGTTTAGAAGGCAAAAAAGAACCAAAGTTCCTCGGTCACCTCAGTCCTTGCGCTGGCATTGTGCTCAATATTGCTCTCATGTCTACATATATCGATGCATGTCTACATGTCTCCGTAGCGCTGCATTGATGCATTACAGGTACAGGGCTGGGCTCAGTGCCTGCACGGATTCGGCAGTACCGCGCTCACATTTTTGGCGCGCTGGAAGGGCGCTGCATTTTCAGATGGCTTGCACGCATTACGATCAGACACATCGTCACAAGCCCTTCTTTCATTGGTAATCACGTGCATGGCAGGCAGCGTGCATGTAGAGCATGTCACTGTAACAGACCAACACAGCTGAACCTTGGCCCTTCTACCCCTTTGCACCTTCCAGCATCCTGGTAGACCAATCTGGAGGGAGTGGTCTTAAGCCAGCCCTGGAGCAGCTCCGGATTTGGGGTTGTTGCGTAGAAAGCATTCTGCTCTGAGGTAGAAATCCCGATCACGCGGTGGGACATTTCTGTGTACTACTGCGAGGACCCAGATGAGGTTCAGGTGTGGCTGCTGTCCTCGAATGTCATTTTCCTTGTTCCTTGGTCTTTGCCCACGCGTTGCTTGCGCAGCCCTTCCAATCACTGGTCAAGCACCAATCGTGACCCGCTGCAAGTTTGAAGTGGATGCTAAATGATTGAAGTTGCATGAGCGCAGGTACATCGAAGGTATTGAGCTTTTCGACCACAAGTACTTCCAAATTCAAATCAACGAGGCAGGTTGTGCCTGAGCCAAATTGCCAAATTGAAGCTCTCAACGAACTTCGAGCCGAAAAGTGAGGGCGTGCTTGCAGCATTTGATTGAGTAGGCCCGAGGAATGGACCCGATGCAGCGGCATGTGCTGGAGGCCAGGATCGGGTTCAGTCATCAATTTTGGTACATTTTACGCCATGCTATTGCACTGGACCACCTGATGGTGATGGACAATTCCTGTGTCCTGTCGAGTGTGTACATGTTTGTGGAGACGGCGCCTGTAACGAGAGGCCGTGTGGTTGAACAGATTTGGGCAGCGGGGATGGGTTCCAAGAGTATACGGGTACCTTTACATCCATGCCGAAACCATAATCTCCTTCGTGTTCCAAGAGCATACGGTTACCTTTGCATCCATGCCCAAACCATAATCTCCTTCATGTTCCAAGAGCATACGGTTACCTTTACATCCATGCCCCAACCATAATCTCCTTCGTGTTCCAAGAGCATACGGTTAGAACCTTTACATCCATGCCCAAACCATAATCTCTTTCGTGCTTCCAGAGCGTACGGTTACCTTTACATCCATGCCCAAACCATAATCTCGTTCGTGTTCCAAGAGCATACGGTTACCTTTACATCCATGCCGAAACCATAATCTCCTTCGTGTTCCAAGAGCGTACGGTTACCTTTACATCCATGCCCAAACCATAATCTCCTTCATGTTCCAAGAGCATACGGTTACCTTTACATCCATGCCCAAACCATAATCTCCTTCGTGCTCCAAGGGCATACGGTTAGCTTTACATCCATGCCCAAACCATAATCTCCTTCGTGCTCCAAGAGCATACGGTTACCTTTACATCCATGCCCAAACCATAATCTCCTTCGTGCTCCAAGAGCATACGGGAAACGCCCAGGAAATCTGACACTTCTGCTAGGGCCCTTAAACAGAACAAGAAAAAGGCTCTTGCAAAACCCCAGACCACGCG